TGGAGAGAGAGAGAGAGAGAGAGAGAGAGAGAGAGAGAGAGAGACACCCTACAGTACTGCATTCAATATTTCAACGAAGGTCACTCATATAGTGCAGTGAGCACTGTCAGGGTAATACATGTAACGAAGCGCTGTGAGGAGTTAGTTTCTAGACGTTTGTTGACATCCCGTGTTTAGCTGCTGCTTCTTCTTCTGCCGCTAATTTAAAGGCCACCTGCTGGGCTGGAGTGGTAAATGGACTGATTCTTATATAGCGCTTTTCTACTCATCTGAGCACTCAAAGCGCTTTACACAACTTGTGCATTCACATTCACATTCACCTATTCGCACAAGCACATCTTTCTAAGACCCACACATTCATACTCCGATGGATGCATCGGAGAGCAATTTGGGGTTAGTACTAGGGGAAGCCAGGAATCGAAACACCAACCTTCCGATCAGTAGATGACCTGCTCTACCACCTGAGCTACAGTCCCCCATGTGGACCATGACGGTTTTAAGGCCTGGATATTTTCTTAAGAAAATCCCCGTGACATTTAAAAATCTGAACATCATCTGAACACCATACTCTTTTGTAAAATCTCTTCAAACATTAACTGAACACTACCTCTCTGAAAACTTTGTTTGCAAAACTTGTGCATAAGATTTAAAAAATTGACAATTTATATTTGCATTTAAAGTTATGAAATATGATTCATTAAACATGTTTGGTTGTTACAGTAAAAAATAACTTTCTACTCAGATTTTATGTTTTTTATTATTATTATTAATAATAATAATAATAATAATAATGGATTGCATTTATATAGCGCTTTTTCAGGACCCCTCAAAGGAACCCCTTTTTTTTCTTAGATCAATTGTGTTAATACAGTATGTCAAAATGAAAACATAACTGTAAATTCAGACACGTGAGGTTGTGCTGAAAAGAATGATACCAAACAAGCCAAAATAAATAGTTTTTAAGGTGAAATATAGAGAGAAAATCAAAAGTAGTTAAAAATGGCCAATTATACACTGGACCCCAGAGGGTTAAACTTTTTTTTTTTTTAAAGTAACGCAATAGTTACTTTTCAAGTAATTAATTACTTTTAGAATCTTGTAACTTAGTTACTAACTCAGTTACTTTTTTGAAGAAGTAACTAGTAACTATAATTACTTTTTCAAAGTAACTTGCCCAACACTGCTCAGAGGTGATTGCTAACTGGGCCCTGGTGGCAAACGAGGCTAATCAAAAACAGCTGTGTCCTGAGGAGAGAGAAGAGTGAGAGAGACAGAGGGGGTAGGAGTGGCAAGAGAGGAGGAGGTGGAGAGAGCGGGCAAACACCCCACCCACACACTCCCAAAGCCTCACAGGATGTAACATCCCCCCCCCTTATATTCAAGCTCTACCAAAACAACAAAAACACTTCATTGTGAGCTGCATGAGAGTGCATCAGCTACGATATTGTCAGTGGTGTGTGGTTGCACATCCGGTTCAGAAAAACGAGGGGATTGTGATCTGTGAACACGGTCACCGGCGAAGAGTTAAAGCTTCCTTCCTAGGGGCTACAACTAGGTTGTGCCAAGCCGTTTTCTACTAGGTACTCAACTTCCTTTTTCATCACCTCATGTTTGGCGACGGGGCAGCGGTATGCATGCTGCTTGATTGGGGCTGCGTCGTCAATGTCATGCTCACAAACATTGGTGCGGGAGGGCACATCACTAAAGAGAGACTGATAGGAGTGCAACAAGTCAAGTACATCCCTACACTGAGACGGAGGAAGATGAGACAGGTGGGTCTCGTCCTTGGCTAAAAAAAAAAAAAAAAGAATTTGACAACCGCCCACATTGCTGTCCCTCGGAAAGGGTACCCAGATCATCAACGCCCTTGACTTCTACACTTAGCAGGGAAGCAGGGACTGAACCAGGGACAGTGATCCCAGCGGTGTCTGCCTGTTCTGTCATGCTGGTTTCTGTGGTGCGGTATGGTTTCAGCATGTTAACATGGCATAGGCGAGTCTTCCTCCTGCGTTCTGGGGTGTTGAGAAAAATAGTTGGTGTCAGACGCTTTCTTCACTATTACATAGGGGCCTGATAAATGAGCCATGAGGGCAGAATTAGGCGCGCGCAGCAACACAAGCAACAGGCTGAAATTGTCTTTCCACTGCCTTCTGATCAAACCGTCTCTTCATATTGGCCTGGGATACACAGAGAGCCTCTTTTGCTAACAAAGCAGCCCATTGCCACCTGTCCTTGCATGTTTTCACAAACTCCACCACATTAGTTTTAGGCATGCAACCGCTGAGAAAACTCTCCTTCAGCACTTTTAGTGGACCCCGCACATCATGGCCAAACAACAGGGTAGCTGGGCTGAACCCCAAAGACTCCTGCTTCACATCACGTATAGCGAACAATACAAAAGTGACACCTTCATCACAGCTTTTTGGTTACACATTATGGTTAAATGGTAAATAAATGATAAATGGCCTGTATTTGTATAGTGCTTTACTAGTCCCTAAGGACCCCAAAATGCTTTACACATTCAGTCATCCACCCATTCACACACTGGTGATGGCAAGCTACATTGTAGCCACAGCCGCCCTGGGGCACACTGACAGAGGCGAGGCTGCCGGACACTGGTGCCACTGGGCCCTCTGACCACCACCAGTAAGCAACGGGTGAAGTGTCTTGCCCAAGGACACAACGTCCGAGACTGTCAGAGCCGGGCTCGAACCGACAACCTTCCGATTACAAGACAAACTGCCAACTCTTGAGCCATGATTGCCCAACAAGAACTGATTCCCTGCCCGCGTCTTTGGTAAGGGGCCAACACAGTCTACCTGGACATGCTCAAATGGTTCACCGACAGCAGGGATAAGACGTTGAGGGGCGGGGGGCACCACCTTGTTCGGTTTACCCACAAGCTGGCAAATGTGACAGGTGTTACAAAACTGCACTACATGTGCTTTCATTGCCGGCCAAAAGAAATGCTGCAGTATACGGTCATATGTTTTAGTGACACCCAAATGACCTGACCATGGTCTAACTGTAGCACATGCTGCCGCAGACTTGTCGGAACCGCTATCTGCCACACTGTACTCCAGTCTTCTCCAGGCCTTTGGGTCCATTTGCGCATCAATAAACCTTCCCAAATGAAAAATGTCTGCTTCTTGATCCCCTCACCCCCATCATCCTGAGCTGCACTTGACTAATGAAGGGTCCTCTTTACTAGCCTCCACAAGTGCTTGCCAAGTGAGCAGAAAAGGAGCTTCAGACTCAGAAGCTGGCTCAACCACACTTTGAGCCGACTCTAAGGCTCCATTATCTCTTTCATCAGTACAGGGCATCACATCCTTCTCTAGAATAGAGGCAATCACTGATCCTGACAAATCAACCCCCCCACCTTGTTGCTGGGCACGAGAACAAGTAAGAACATTCACAGGGAACACATCTGGGTGCTGCTGGCTCAGGGCATCTAAAACAGGCTCTACAACAGGATTGTTGGTCACCTCAGGGGTAGGATAAACTTTCCCACCCGCTATGTCATTTACCATTATAAAATCCAGCCCATTAATTGGAAAACAAGGCTGCACAGCCACTGAAAAAAACCCGC